ATGAAGCATATATTTAGGCTATATAAGACACATATGAGAGGGTAAGAACTTCCCAATTGGAATAGGTTAACATTAAGGCTCCACTTTGAACCCTTACTTGTTTAATCTAGTTTTAGATGTGTATACAAATGACATACAAAATATTATCCCTTAGTGCATACTATTTGCAGATGATATAGTGTTAGTCAAAAATTCAAAAGAAGGGGTTAATGTTAAACTTGAGTTATAAAGGGAGACTTTAGAATCTAAAGGTTTCATTTAAGTAGAAGTAACACATAATATATGCATTGTAGGTTTAGCTAAAAAACAAGATGAAGATCATGAGTTGAAAGTTAAACTTGAAGATGATATTATACCACAAGTTTTCAGTTTCAGGTACTTAGGATCGATTATACAAAATAATAGAGAATTCAATAAAAATGTTACTCATAGAATACAAGTTAGGTGGTTAAAGTAGAGAAAAACATCAAGACTTATTTGTGACCATAAAATACCTATCGACCTGGAAGAAAAGTAAGGTTTTATCGTACTGCAATATAACCACATATCCTATATGGTAATGAATGTGGGGCCTTAAAGGAACAACATGAGAAAAAAGTGGAAGTGACAAAAATGAAAATGCTAAGGTGAATAAGTGAGCACACAAAAAAAGACATGATACAAAATAATAGTATATAAGAATATTGGAGTAGCACCTATAGGAGAAGATGACTAAAAATTGTTTAAGATAATTTGATCATGTGTAAAGAAGATCTTTGGAAGCACTAAAAAGGAGAGTAGATTACATGACTCATAATTCGGTAAAAAGGAGTTGAATAAGACTTAAAAAAATCTTAAATAAAGTTATTAAAAAAGACTTTTTGATTAACTATATTTTTAAAATTTTAGTTTTTAATTGAATTCAATGGCGTTGTGTAATCTATATAACTAACCTCACATAATAAAATAAGGATTGGTTGTTGATGTTTTTGTTGTTGTATCTTTATCATATCAATATCTATTATTCAATCTCTTTTTAGTTTTTATAAATTTGAAAGAATTTGTAAGAAATTATGTTGAAGTAATACCAATTAAAAAAGAAAATGTCATTTAGTTTCTCAGGAAAAAATTTGTAGGTCAAAGATGGAAGACATATGATTTAGGAATTTAACAATAAAATTGAGAGGTTTATACATTTCAAAATCTAAGCTCACAAGAATTAAATCATAAATCTTATGGACTCAAATTTTAACATAATTTTGTAATTTTCAATTTAAATAGTCATGTTAAATCTTTTACTGTGTAGAGAGGGATTGTTTAGTCTTTAAAAATATGTTAAAGATAATTTTTTTTTTGGTACATTAAAAATGATAATTATATTAATATAATAAAATATTTTCAAAGTCTATTTCATGATTTACTCTCCTTAATTTTTGTATACCTAATATATCTGCATTTTAAGATCTATTTTTTGTTAAATTAAATTATCGTCATTTATCTTATTTAAAATTTTAGTTTACACTTTCACTATGCTTGTTGACCCCAATGCAACGCTCCATCAGAGCCCATGCTGTTAGTCCTTTGCTGTATTCCTCCATCACCAACCACCGAACCAGCTTTTCGTTATTGGCAGAGTGGGAAGGACAACGGAGATTGTTCATGTGAAGTTGGGATGGTTAGGGTGATTTTAGTTAGATCGTAAGGCTAAGAAACAGGGACGACCCACTTTTTTTGTGTGCGCGCGCTATAATATTTTATTTATGAGTTAATTGTAATTTCTCATGGATGGCCCAAAAGTTATTGGAATCATTGAAATCACTTGCCTACTCTTTTTTTGTCACTTTATTTATAAATTTTAGCCTTTATTTCATTTACTTTTTCTTTTTCAACAGTCTTACGAGTTGTTGCTCTTTCTTTTTTTGGTCTGAAGGGTTGTGCTCTTTCAAACTGGCACTTTACTTTTTAATATCCTAAGGATCCAAAATTTACGACCAAAGTCCCTTCCTTATCTAAGTCCAAGCACCTGAACATGAGACTTCGTATTGCAAATTAACAGATACTACTAATCAAAGAAAAAGTACAAAGAGAACTGGAATCCATTAAATCACCACCAAAAAGAGTGTTGTTTTAACATATTTTATTTGTTCAAAAATATATTGACAAATTAATCAAGGCCTTGAGCCCCTAGCTAAGGCTCCATCAAACTAAACGTAAAAGCCTTGGAAACTTAACAGGAAACATCCATTCCCTTACCTTCCTTCTCATTTTGTTACCTAAAGCCGAGAGAAATTCAATAGTGCAACTTTAAAATTACGATGGATTAATGTAAGAGAATGTTTTACCTGTCATATTTGAATACAATAAATACAAATTACTTACTTTATTTAGATCTAATGACGACACATTCATGACTCAGTGAGCTAAATTATCCTATCTCATCCCATTATCATATTTCAAATTCCTTTCCTTAAAGGTACTAGGGTTGAAACCATCAAAATATAATAACTTTTTCTCTATTACATTCTTACTCATATTTTATACCTTTTTCAAAATTTTATAAAAAAATAATTATTCTTAAAAATATATAATATTAATATTTTTACTAAAAAAATTATATGAAAACTTTTTTAATAAAAAATATTTTTTAAAAATTATATATTTTTTAAAAATTTATAATTTTTTTAAAGAAAAGTATATTTTAAAAAAATTGTAAACAATATTTTAATCATTTTATAAAATATATTTTAAACCTTTTTATAATTATTTGTTCTAATTATAATTTTTTCCTAAAAATATATTTCAGTTGTAAAAAATTTGAATAAAATTATTATATTTTAATATTACATGTACATAATTTTTTTAATAGTATATATATATATATATATTGAAAAGTAAAAATTTTAAATAAAACTTATTTTTGAAAAATATATTAATTTGAATAAAACAGTAAAATTTTATTTAAATACCATTTATATTTTATTTTATCATTTTTTATTTATCTCAAACATTAAAAATAATGACATAATATTATCTATTTTATTTCCCTAATATACATCAAACATGGAATAAAAACTTATCATTCTCTTATCATATCCTAACTTTTTCCATTTCTCTATCCTATCACTCTCTTACTATCATTTCCTCAAGGTACGTGAATATACCCACACTTAATGACTGCTACTTAACCTCCACTTACTCAGAGGCTCTTACCTTAAAATAACAAGTTGGGTTCAGTTGCATCCCTGATAAATTATCATTCATGATATTCATGACTTCTTTTCTGTTTTAGCTTGTGCTGACTAGCTTGGTTGACCGTAAAATTCTCACTTGCGACCAAGCAAACTAGAAGCAACTTTTTTATGGCACTTTATGCTGAGGTGTGCTAAATACTAATGACTTAAAATACTAGAATTTCATTGATATTAAGAACATAACCAATGATCAAATTAGAAGTTTTAAGCAGAATAAATTTTAAAATATACTACCATTGCCTCATGGTGCAATCCACCATACCAATTAAGTTTAGCAAGCCTCAGTATAAGGTAGCATAAAAGAAAATAGAAATATAGCCTTAACAACTGCTTGAAGCTTTGAATCACACCAATAGTATAAACTAAATGGAATTGGAAATGAACGTTTAAGCTTTTTTAATATCTAATCACATACCCTTTAAAAGAGGCAATCAGTCAAAAGCTACATAAAGATGTTCAGAAGGAACCAGGACCTAAGTTTTGTTAATTCTATTCAACAATCTACTGAGCGTGAAAACTCCACATCAATCGAACTTTAATTTCTCAGCCATCAAACTATTACAAGTATGTATGTTAATCGAAAACCAGAACTAAGCTTTGATCACATGCGAAAAATCTGTTTCTCAATTGCAGATTCAGTAACTTTCATGAAGTCCTGCAAGTGCAGTTCAGACCAGAAACTCAATTAAGTCAAAGTAAGTCCCAATTATGATTATCAAATTTCCCTCTTGTGGTTTCCTCAAGAGAAACATTCCGCCAATCACAGTGCAAAGCCTAAACTTCATAAGTATCCTTAACTAACACTAAGCATGATGTTTAGGTACACTAGGATGTAAAAAAAATCAAGACAATGCCTAATGCTCTTACTCAAACCTGAGCCACAATAAACTTAATTTGGAGAAATCAATTGACCACACCACTCGTCAATGGACTAAGTTTGATCATTAAACAGAAGGCAAAACAATATCATATTGCCAAGTACTTGAGCATTCATTTCCTACAAATCATAATGCAATCACAATGAGGTGGACTACAAGTTACGAACCCAGCAGTACACTACTAACAAAGTAATAAAGCAAAACGAAAAAATTTCATTAAAAAAAAATAATAATCCACATCCAATGAACTTGAAATTCTGTTCCGTTAAGATATTTAAAATGTTAATGAACAGAAAACCAGAACCATAACTCTAAATTCTAACCACAGAAAAAATCATTACCAAATAGATGATTAAGCATATAAAAGCAATCTTCTAAATGGAGAAAAGCTTTGATGAAATCCTGCAACCACAGTTTAGAACAAAAAATAAGTTCCTTCCGTATATATATTGTTATCAAATTTTCCTCTAGTGACTTCCACAAGAAAACCTTACGCCCCCAATCACAGCACCTACTCAAATCTTCTCATGCCACCTTAACTAATATTGAAAAAAGTCTAAACAAAATCACACCACACCACATTGCAGTAGGTTTTACCAATAAAATGCAATCTAAAACCAAATAGCGCATCATCTAAGCATCTGATTACAACCCAAACACTTCTCAGTTCTCACCTACAAATCTCATTTCAGCAGCAATATTGAAGTAGTTTCCCGGAACCACCATTAACTAAATACAAAAGCAAGACCAAAACAATTTTCTGGGAATACTTCAATTCTTTTTCAAGAAAAGAAACCAAATGAGAGAGAAACATGAAGACGACACGAAATCATAAAAAAATAAAATTTAAGAACCATTTCAAATCTTGAAACACAAGTAAGATATTCATACAGTTTTGTTTTTCGTTTTTAATTTTAGTGGGTGAAAGCATAGATAGCAGTGGAAATATAAAGCAGGAGAGCAGAAGAGACCAAAACAACCATAGCGGCAACAGCGTGAGCAGCGGATTTGCTGCCACAAGACAACATCCCCAGGCGGATCTCGATGACGTTGACCATAGAAAGGACCAGGAAGAGACAGCCCATGACGGACCCAATAGCGGAGCCCAACATCCCCAATCTTAGGGCCTTTAGGTTGATATGGGCCCTGAAGGCCTCATCCACGTCCTTGCTGTTGAGCAAGTTGAGTGCCAGCTTCAACCCTTGCGCCACCAAAGAGGAGAAGAGGAAGAAGCTGAAGGACACCACCTCGAACACAAGAAGCTTCTTTGCCACGTCATCACCAGCATCGCACGAGGAACGGTTCTCGAGGCTTCGCTGCCCTGGCGTCGTTAGGGACAGCCCCACGAACACCGCGATCGTGAATAGCGAGTTCACATTCACTAATCCGTCCAGCGCCGTCACATGAACGCTCGTGGTCGACGACGATGAGGAAGACGAAACCCTTCTGCTGATGCCGTTTTGTTCGCTCGTGTAATACTCCTTTGGATATTGCTCTGATCTGTCAATTTCAAAAAACCAAAATTAAAGTGCTTTGAATTAGAACCAATTAGCGAAATAAAATTAGTTGATGCGTCAAAAGAGTGTGCGTGGAGGGGGAAGTGAGAAGAGAGATACTCGTCCATGAGGGGGAATCAATGGCGGCGAAGAAAGAGGGTTGAAGAGGAAGGGTTTGGCTTGCTTGCTTGGGTCTGAGGGTTAACAATACAAGAATTGCTTAGGGGAGAGGTTGATGCTTTCGTTTTCGGGAGTGGTTGTGTTTGTTTGTTTTTCCTGCTCTCTATGCTTTTCTGAACGTTTCAACGTGCAAAGGGAAGGTATACGTAAGGAAAGGAAAATTAACGGTGGCAGGACAAGGACATTGCATTACAATATATAAAACGATGCCTTCACGCTCGAAACAACTATTATTTTCAGCACTACACGCGTAATCTGTATCTATGTTACTCTCACCGTCACAACAAAATGGAAACCATTATTTGTACTGTTAGAATGGGATATATTTTAGCGGTTTTTCTTTCAATTTTTGGGATATATGTATTAAAAATAAAGACCTGAGAAATAAAGAAACAATATGCAGTAGCAATTTTAAGGTGTTTAAATAACATAAATTTTAATATATATGTTTATATTCACAAGATTTGGTTTAAGTGGTTCTTGACTCGAATAATTATACAGAGAAAGTACCTTTTAAAAAAAAAAAAAACAAACACCAACTACAATAAATGTGTTGAAAATATTATTAAAAAGTGTTACTTTTGAATTCCTTCATTTATTTATTTATTCATTTAAAAATTAAGATAATACAATTATTAAATTTTTACTTATATATTTATTTTTATTTAATTCATAAATATTTTACTCAATATAAATATGAAAAATATTAATTACATTTCTTAATTTGTGTATTATCCTCTCATGTAAATTTCAATTAAAAAAATTATAAAATTAGTGATTTAGACCTTGATTTTTTTTTAAATCGTCATCTATTTATTTATTTTTGTTAAATTTTTAATATTTTTATTTTTGTTTCAAGTTAATTATTTTGTTATAACATTGTTAAATATCATGGAAAATTATATTTTTAATTAGGTCATCATGATTTATCTAATCTTTTGTGTATAGGTAATAAATTTTTAGAGCAAAGGCTTTATGTTAATAAAGAACAAAATTTTTAAATAGATTTGATCAAATGTAACAATTCTTTCGTTGAAACATAAGCATGCTCACTCAAAATAAATAATTAAATAAATAAATCAAACAAAACAAAGACACTATTTTAGATGGTACTTTTATTATTAGATTCAAATCATTCATAGGAATGGTAATGGGTAAGGTACGAGTAGGGTTCTATAGTACCCATTCCAATATTCGCATTTTAAAAAATACTTGTACTTAACTCCATACTCATTCATGCATTACTCGCACATAACTTCATACTCGCGTGAGTATAAACATTAATTCATGTACTTGTACTTTCTAAGTACCAGCATACTCATCTTGTACTCATTACTCACGCTTGTTTAAAAAAAAATATTTATAAAGAAAAATATATCTTGTATGAGATTCTATCGATCGGCAACATCAAAACGACAACGAAATAGATTTGCGCAGTGGGTCGCCCTTCGTATAGGATCACTTGTAGAAGCATTGACAACTAACTCTAATGAATAACTTTTCATAATTGCTAAGTTTTAATGAACAAAGATTGAGAATGAAAGTAGAGTTAGGCAGAGAAGTTCAAGTACTAAACGATAACAAAAAGTGGATACATAAAATATATTTTTTTTAACTTTTGAATTTGAAATTGTAAGAAAAATAATGAATTTAATTAAAATAATATAATATAATTAATATATATATATATATATATAATACTAGTATTTTTAACTCATGCACTATACGAAAGTATTTTGTCAAAAATATAATTTTTTTATAAATTATTTTAATGGATTAAATATTTATAATGTATATAAATTTTAAAAGAAAGAATTTGAATAAAAGATAAATGTTCACAATAATAAAGAAATATACGTGTATATAAAAAAATTATACTTTTTATTTGAAGAAAAAATTAAAAAATAAAAATCAACAATATTTTTTTATATTTTATATTTTTTTCAAAACTTTTTTGAACGTAAATAAATAGTAAGAATAATATTATTTAGATTTAATATATTATAGTTGTACTTGTAATACACATGTTACATAGAAAAATATTATTTTAAATTAAAATATAAAAATAAAATTTAAATATTAATAAATAATCTTACAATAATAGTAGGTGATTATAAAATTTATAAAATATTTATAATATGTTTATTATTTATCATTCACTTTATGATTTAAATATCAATATGATTTTATTAACAAAAATATCTGGTATGAAAAATATTTTATATGTATGTTATATATAGATAATATTTTTATAAAAAAAAGTCAATCTCATATCAACTGTGTAATATTAAATTGTATTAGCCTAATTAAATGATATAAAATATTAAATAAATTTTTCTATTAAAAATATAAACTAAAATATTTTTTTGTTTACTTTATTATTAAATATATTTTTATATTAATCTTATATAACTTCACATAAGTAGTATAATAATACAAAATTTCAATATATAATTGTAGAACAAAGTTCAAGTATATATATTAAAATTTGCAGGTGTTTACTCATACTTATATTCATATTTATGTAGTGAGTAAATACTCTATCCATTGTAGGTAAATTTTACAAATGTCAGTCAGGTATTTTATTCATTGTAATTCTTAACTATTCGCTATACATAAGAAAATTTTCTACAACTTTATTATTATTATTATTATTGCTTTATTTGGATTCAATGGTTCTACTAATTCAGCAATAAAGCTTCATACTAAACTAATAAAGGAAGACATTACAAAACATTAATAGAGGCATCTCTGCCATTAATCATGTAATACCTTAAATTTAAATTCAATAAATAAGGAATTTCACAAATTTTTCAAAATAATAAAATTTTCATTTTCAATCCAAGTTCATCAAACATTTCAAATAAAGAAAGGGATTACAAAATGTATTAAGCAGTTGCTATAAGACTTATTCAAATACAACAGTTTTCAAAATAATATTATAAGTCCTATAGCAGTTCCATTCATCCCTTCACTAAGTCTGGTGCTGATCGTCTTGATTACTTGAAAAATGAATGTAAGGGTGAGTACTCTACATCCAAAAACACACAATCAACGTAGAGTCTCACCTCCAGCACGTTTTCCATACATTAAACAAACACAATCACAGACAGTATTTCACATCCATAAGTACAAAACACAAATTCAAGCATATTCACGCTAGCCACATTCACTACAGCACTGTGATCACATATTTACACCATGAATGGTCGCCGATTACCCCTGCCTCACGGATACCACGTGGGCAGTCACAGGTCGCTTAGCAAAGGTAGTGGTCAGAGATATAGAGAAGAAGAGAGTGTGTGGCCCGTGGTGCACCCATTCCACAGTCGGTGTCACCATCACTCCCTTTTCCCTAAGGTATTTCTACTGTCCTCATCTCCCACACCCTAGTGTATCGCTGAACTATTCACAACATATTACAACGGCGTTACACGCCCCATTCACATATATTCCATTCACGCATGCAATAATCATGCTTACACATGGCACACAACACACATTTCATTCAATTATACGGCACTAGGCCCACATTCATTTCACAGCACACACACAGCACATAGCCTATTTCCATTCACATTACACGGCCCTCGAGCCCGCATTTCACACAACATTCATTCAATATACACACACACATGTATGAACGGCACAAGTGCCCACATCACATATCTCAGCAATTTCCTACCCTCTACTCAACCACATCATAATATCACACATAAAAGAGTAGGGTAGAGTCCCCCTTTACCTTAGATTGAAGACCCACATTCGAACTTAACCACGAAAATGCTCCCCACACGGCTTTCGGCCTAAACATATGGAAGAATTCCATGAGAACCCCGAGAATCACCAAAACAGAGGAAGGGGAAGGAAAATAAAAACCTCAACCGTTTAAAACTCACCTCCAAGCGTTCCCCACACAGATTCAACCTTCAATCAAGCACCCGAACGGCTTTGGAGGCAATTAATCAGTGGAATAAGGCTGTGGGTATGAGAGAATCGAAGGGAGAGGGAGAAATAACTCTCCCCAAACCCTAACCCCCTTTAAATCCTTTTCTGGTCGCGACACTTTCGGTACAGCGAGGTCCCCTCGCTACAGCGACACGCCCTCTCACTACAGCGAAAAAATCAGAGAAAACTACACTCTGATTTTTGTAGAATCTCGCTACAGCGAGACTGCACCTAGAAATGCACCACAAAACTGTTGCTTTCTCACTACAATGAGACGTCTCTCGCTACAGCGAGAAGGTGCCAGTTTCAGTCCTTTCTCTTGGGGCCCTCTCACTACAGTAAGAATCCTCTCGCTGCAGCAAGAACAGCCCAGTATTACGCCCTGCTCTTAGGCACTTAGCCCACTTTCAGCCCAACCAGTTATGCATACACACACACACATATATATATATACATATGTTCACAACATATATCTAAAAATACATACATGAATATACATTTAGATTTATATAAATAAAAATAATTAATATTACAAAATTAGAAGTGTTACAAATCAAAGTCTATAATGATCTTTAACAAATTATGAAAAAAAAAGAAAAAAGACAAAATAGTTCCAGAAAACTTGATGAGTTGATAAAGAAGAAGAAAAGGAGAAGCAGACATGATGGTCAAAGAAAGAACTAAGTTAGATAACATTGAAGATGAAAAAGAAAACTTGAATAATTGTACTCGCTATCCTAATCTCATATGTTAGACTGTATTTATAAAATTGATAACCCTACTTTAGAGGTTGAATGGACTACGTATTTTCTTCCTATGTTAGACTATTATGCCACATGTTGAACCCACTAAATCTTAGACTAGAGTATAATTATTTAGGTCTAAAACCTATTTCTATAACTCTAAAAAAAGTCCAAAGTAAATTATTATAACCTAAGTAAAATTTTTGAAGAAAATGTAGGCTTTACTTTTTAAAAATTGATTGTGAAGCCGAAATCTATTTTAAAAAAAAATCAAAAGTTTTTCCCAAGCAGAAGATACATTTGATTTTTATTTTAAATGGTTTATTAGATACAAATTTTATTATATTTTCTAGTAAATTCTTTTAAATGGTTTAATATTAACATTTTTTTATTTTAAATTTTTTT